TACCGTACAAAATATAAAAAAAAAATTTTTTTTTCTTTGAATTTTCAAAATAACTATATCAGAAAAATTTTATTGAAATTTCTATTTTGATATTTTTGTAGAAAATTAAATTCTATATAAAATTCATCTCTTAAATTTTTTACAAAAAGTTAATAGGAAAAAGTAACAGAGTCACTGTCAAAGTTACAGTGTAGAAAAAAATTATTAAAACTTTAGTTTTTAAATAAAAAAAAAATTTTACTTTTTAAAACTTAACATTTAATAATTTTTTATTTATTTTCAAAATTATAATCCAAAAATTTTTTTAATTCACTTAAATTTGTATTTTGTTTTTTTTTAAATTTAATAATTTTCTCCAAAATTAAAGAAAAAAACTCTCCAAAGATCTTTTAAAAATTCTATAATTAATTTTAAATATTTTTTCTCACAAAAATCCTTTAAAAAGCCATAAAATTCTCTAATAAATTAACAAACTTTTTATTTTCAACATAAAAATTCAAAATTTTCCCCCCAAGCTTCGGGATTACCAACAATAGATAAAACCCTTGCGCGCCACCTGTCTATAAAACCCCGCGGGAAATTCAAACTGATTAAAAAAAAATTTCAAAATTTTCTTCTTCAAACTCAAAATTTCTTTTTTCTAAAAAAAAATTTCTTCGCTTTAAACTTTAGAAAAAAAATTCCAACAAAATTTTACAAATAATTTTTTGAAATTTTCCAGAAAATCTCCAAGAAAACTCTAGAGAGAATCTGAAAAATAATCTCAAGTGACGTGTACGGATCTAACGTGTCTACGCATGCGCAGAGCTACATTACGTGGCAGTACAGTCACGAGAGAAGAGACAGCAGTGAGTGCAGTTGTGAGTAAAGCAAAAATAATAACTAATAAATATTTTCTCTTTTACAATTTATAATAAATAAAATAATAATTATATTAATAAATAGTATATAGCAGGCACAGATATTAAAATAAATTTCAAGCAATATTCTTCGCTATCACTCGAGTTAAGTTTTAAATTATTTGCGATTTATTAAATACTTACCTGCTGGATTTAGTCAATCAAGGGTCATCTGGTTTCCAGTCAACGTGACACTTCAAACATATTTTGGGTCATTTTATAAATTATCGAGATTGGGATGAATTATCACTCTCATTAAATGTAAGTATTTTTATAATAATTATCAAAATCATAATAATTGTAATTTTAATTTTTAATTTTTGTTAAAAAAAATTTTTAAGTTTTATTTTGACAGCGATAATTTTTTTTTAATTTACAAATTGTGATTTAATTTTTTTTTTATGACGTTCCATATGTAAGCTTTTAAAAATGTAATCATTAGAAAAAAAAAAAATTTTTTTTGAGGTTAAATTAATTTTCAAAAATTTTATAAAAAATTTTTTATTTTGATTTAAAAAAATTCTTTTGAGGTTAAATAACTTTAAAATTTTAATAAAAAAAATTTTATTTTGATTTTTAGAAATTTTTTTTTAAGTTCAAATTAATTTTCAAAATTTTGACAAAAAATTTTTTATTTTGACTTAAAAAATTTTTAGATTTTTTTTTAATATTTAAATTAGTACAAAAATATTGATAATTTTTTTTAATTTTTACATGTGAAATTTTTTGACTAATTTTTAAATATAATTTTATTGATAAAAAAAAAAATTTCAAAGATTTATAAAAAAAATTTTTTACAGAAAGCCAAAAAAAATGAACCCGCAATACATGCAGCCACTCTACGGTGGCCCCCGGCCATCTGACGGATTGAATTCGAATGTCCCAATGAAGCCCCCGATGGGCCAGGGTGGTCCTGGCCCGGGTTACGCCCAAAAACCAGCCGGTCAAGGGAACTACTACTACCAGGGTGAGAACCAATCTTTCCAAGGTCCGCCTCCTAATGTCCAACCTGGACCACCCGGTCCACCTGGCCCAAACGGGCCCGCAGGATTGACCAACCAGATGTCCAATATGAGTCTCGCTACGGTAATTCATTACTAACCAATAATAATTACTTAATTTTTATTAAAAGAATTTTTTTAATAATACATCCTTACAGAACTTTCCTGGTAACAACATGAACGGCTTCACGGGTGACCATGGATCTGATAAACCACCAGGACCACCTGGGCCACCTGGATCAGCATCAAGTCTTCCACAAAACGCTAATTTTAATCGTTACCCTGAAGGCCAAGGGCCCCCAGGACCTAATCCTGGTATGCAAAGTGGACCACCCGGACCACCTAGTAATTATCTCGGCCGGAATGCAGGATATGGACAAGTTCCACAAAATTCATTTGGGTCACAAGTATCTGGCCCACCTGGACCACATGGCCCACCTGGACCACATGGACCACCACAAGGTAATTAATAATAATTCAAATAAATTTAAAATAAAAAAATTTCCAGCAAAAAATAACAATTTTCTAAATTTTTTAGGTGGACCACCACCCAGCGGCCCACCACCAGGACAAATGGCTCCAACAGGCCCACCCAATGGCCCACCAGGTTTTCACGGCCCTCCTAGCCAATTACCACCCACTGGCCCAGGGTTACCACCCACAGGCCCATCTGGACACCCACCACCCGGCCCAGGACTACCACCCACAGGCCCAGGACAAATGCCACCCGGCCCACACGGAGCCCATCCCCCTAAACCAGGCCCAGGCTCGCTCCCAGGCCAATCAGCTCCCCCAGCACTAAACTACCAGCAGAACCTAAACTACCAACCGCTCCCCGGACAACCCGGGCCCTTCCCCACCCAAGCCCAAGCCCCCCGCCAACCGTACCCCTACCAAGGCACCCAACAGCCCCAACACCCCTACCAAGACCCCTACGGTCGTCCCTACCCCCAGGGCGTGACGATGCCCGGCGCGCCTTACCAAACCGGAACCCAGCCCGCACAAGCAAAGCGCCTGGACCCGGAGTGCATGCCCTCTCCCATCCCAGTGATGCAAGAGGACCAGAAATCCCGCGGCGGGACATTTATCACCAACCAAAAAGGCTTAGCCCCGCCCTTCGTGACCACAAAATTCATCGTCCAGGACCAAGGCAACGCCTCTCCAAGATTCATCCGTTCCACCATCTACACCGTCCCCACCACCACGGACATGATGAAGCAAACCGGAGTGCCCTTCGGCCTCATCCTCAGCCCCATGGCGGAAATTGCCGAAGGCGAACAGGAACCTCCCATCATCGACATGGGAGAAATCGGACCAATCCGCTGCACCCGGTGCAAGGCCTACATGTCCCCCTTCATGCAATTCATCGACGCCGGACGTCGGTTCCAGTGTAGCTTTTGCAAAGCTATCACCGACGTCCCCCAGGAGTACTTCCAGCACCTGGACCACACCGGTCAGCGAATGGACCGGTTCGAGCGCCCGGAACTCATGCTCGGAACCTACGAGTTCCTCGCTACTAAAGAATACTGCCGGAACACAACCTTCCCGACTCCCCCCGCCATGATCTTCGTCATAGACGTTTCTTATAATAATATCAAGTCCGGGATGGTCCACCTGCTCTGCAATTCCATGAAGGAGATAATCTCCCACCTCCCAAGAGATTCCTTCGAACAGAAGACGCGCATGCGCGTAGGCTTCATAACTTACTCCAGTTCCGTGCATTTCTACAATGTAAGCCCTAATTTAACCCAGCCCCAGATGATGGTCGTTGGAGACGTCCAAGATGTCTTCATGCCCCTGCTAGACGGGTTCCTAGTCGACCCCGAGGAATCTTCAGCAGTAATAGACGCGCTCATGCTCCAAATCCCCGCCATGTTTGCTGACACTCGCGAAACCGAGACTATCCTCGCTCCGGCGATTCAAGCCGGGTTGGAAGCGCTGAAGGCTTCCAAGTGCGCTGGTAAACTCCTGGTGTTCCACTCCAGCCTCCCGAACGCTGAAGCTCCAGGGAAGCTCAAGAACCGCGACGACCGCAAGGTTCTAGGAACCGACAAGGAAAAAACTGTTCTAAGTCCCCAGAACACAGTTTATAATATGTTAGGCCAGGAGTGCGTCGGTTCCGGGTGTTCCGTTGATTTGTTCGTCTTTAATAATTCCTACGTCGACCTGGCGACCATCGGCCAGGTCTGCAGACTCACTGGAGGGGAAATCTTTAAGTACACTTACTTCCAGGCGGATATTGACGGAGAAAGGCTGGTTCAGGATGTGATTAATGACATCTCCAGGCCGATTGCCTTCGACGCGGTGATGAGGGTCAGGACTAGCACCGGAGTCAGACCCACGGATTTCTTCGGGCACTTTTTTATGTCCAATACAACTGATATGGAACTCGCGAGCATTGACTGCAACAAGGCTATTGCCGTTGAGGTTAAGCATGATGATAAGCTCACTGAGGAGGAGGGCGTTTATGTCCAGGTGGCGCTGCTATACACTTCTGTAGGGGGCGTAAGGAGGCTCAGGGTTATCAATCTTAGTTTGAGGACTTCCTCACAGATGACGGAACTGTACAGGACCTGCGATCCTGATGCTATGGTGAACTTCTTTGCTAAACAGAGTGTCGTTAAGATTTTAGAGCACTCTCCCAAGGCGGTCAAGGACCAGTTGGTGTCCAGGTGTGCGACTATTCTTGCGGCTTATAGGAAACACTGTGCTAGTCCGTTTAGTGCCAGTCAACTGGTACTGCCGGAGTGCATGAAGCTACTACCGCTTTATGTTAATTGCTTGTTGAAGAGCGATGCGTTGTCTGGAGGTAAGGATTTTTTTTAAATAAAATAAATTTATTAGTTTTCTTAAAATATTATTTATTACCAAGGCATAGAGCCAATTGCAGAATATGTACATTAGGGTGGCGCAAAAAAACCGACTATTTTTGCACGCCTCATAGCGCGAAGCGCGTGAGGTTGTGCTTTATACTCGACTCGTTAAGATCAAGCAATTTTGTGATCTTTAAATGCCTCTATCACAACCATATTACACTTATACAATGATATAAGTAGATGTACACCGAAAAAACACTTATATTAAACCATCTGTTACTTTCTAAAATCATTTCATGTTGCTATTTATTAAAATTTACTACGATACAACCGTACAAAGCTAAACGAACTTTCCTTATTTGTCACGTGAAAACTATGGCGCTACTTGATCAAGCTAGATTTTTTTTTAGACTGCGTGCGCGCATGACAAGAAGAAAGGGCGCCGATATTTAAAAAAAAAAATAAAAAATACTCTGTAAGAAATTACTTAATTATAATTTTTTTTTTTTTTTAATTAACTTTACTTTAAGAAAAAAAAAACCCTTGTAAAATATTAATTAATTAACTTTTTTATACATCGGTTAACTAATTGGTGACCGGTCAACAACTGGTGCATTTACCCTACCACAGAAAGTTTTTTTTTATCATTTTTAAACTACGAATATGTAAACTAGACAAAAAAAAAATTATACGCCCTTTCATCTTTAGATCACAAAAATTTCGAATTCTTGAAAGTAAAAGAACGTATAATTAAAGACATACGACCTTTTACTTTTGCAATTTTTTTTTTCAATTTTAAGCGTAGAATGTGTTTACTACTCGATTAGTAATAAAAAAAAAAATATACGCCCTTTTACCTTTGCATAGGTAAAAAGGGCGCATAAATTGTTACTCCTTTAGGCACGCGAAATCTATTAAAGTAAAAGCACCAATTATTAACACTGTAAGAGACGTGATAAGGATTTCATTTTTGCACGCCTTATAAGCGAAGCGTTGAGGTGGTGCTCTACTCTCGACATTTCAAAAAAAGCAGTTTTCTCGAAACTGAAATTGATTTTTTGTTATTTATATCGCACTTACAGGTTAATATGAGTACACTAATAACAAGTCAAATAATTTGTCAGGCACATAAAATATATTTTAATAACAATTTTTTGTTCATCATAGTAAATGATAACATTAAACATAATCTTTTCTGGACATCTGTGTATGGATGGGTGAATGTGGCATCGAAATTGGTCGAAAAAATTATCGTACCGGAATAATTTTTTTTTATTATCTAAAGTAAGATACGGCGAATTTTCTTAATTAGTATGGACGTTCAATTCACCGTCGTTGAATTATTATTTATAAAAAACTAATAAGTATATATGACTGTGGATTTTTTTGTATATCTATCTATACATTTTATTATAGTATTTTTTTCCCTCACATTAGAGTTATGGCGCCACTAAACGACAGCAGAATTTTCTGTTTTTTATTATTTTAACTTAATCAATTTTATTATTGTAAAAAATGAGATTATGAGGCGTGCACGTTTGGACTTTCCAAACTTTTTAAAAATATTTTTTTGATCTATAATGTTCTGCTGTAATAAAACTGTTTTGTTAAAACATATAAATTACTCATTATATCCTAGACTTATTATATGATTTGTTATTACGTGTCTTATGTTGTTCTAACAAAATTTTTTTTTTGCGTGTGGACAAGAGATTGTGATGATGATTTTTTTTTCCAGGAGCTGATATGACCATTGATGACAGGTCTTATGTGATGCAAGCTGTCGTGACGATGCCGCTGTATAGTTCTGTAATATACTTCTATCCCAGGTTACTGCCGCTTCATGATGTTGATGTTCAGGCGACGGAACTGCCACAGCAAGTCAGGTGTTCTTTTGATAAGTTCACTGATGATGGAGCGTTTTTGTTAGGTATTTATTTTTGGATAATAATATGTAATTATTGATAGCTTTACATAATTATACAATCGTGGACATTAAAATCCTATTTTTTTTCTCCAAACTAAAATTTTTTTTGGACTTAGAAAAAAAATAGGATTTTATTTTATCGGCTCCGTAATATTCTCCGCGAGTAAAATTTCGGAAAATCAATTCTTGACTGACCTGTAGTTGACAAAAGGCTTTTGTCTCTAAATTTTATAGCTTCAGAAATATCATAAATAAATATATAATAGATAAATTAATAAGCGTTAAAATTAAGAATCTGCTACTTTTATAAACCGCTGAGTTTACAAACGGCTATTTTAATTGTTAACAAAATTTAGCATTCACTTATTTCATGAATAGCAAAGTTTACTATTGGCTGAATTTGCGTGGCTAAGTTTTGAATTGGCAAAATTCACGATGCACCAATTTTAACAAATGTCAACACTACGTAAATACTTTATTTTAAAATTATTTTTATTCTAATGTCAAGATATGCATTTGTTTATTTTTTTTTACTTAGCCGCATTTAAAAATATATTATTCTATTAATGAAAATTTTTTAAATTCGCTCGATTTACTATTGAGTTTTTTAATGTTTATCTTTTTTTTGGTTGGTTGAATTATACTTTATAACATTTTAAGGTTGGTAGGGTAAATGCACCAGTTGTTGACCGGTCACCAATTAGTTGACCGATGTATAAAAAAGTTAATTAATTAATATTTTACAAGGGTTTTTTTTTCTTAAAGTATTAAAATAAAAAAATATGGCATTTAATCATCATAATAAAAAATTACGCAATTAATTGTGCAGTGATTATAGCTTTAAAAAAATATTCTAAGTTTGTTTACAACGCAACCAGCCATAAAGCGGTCAAAAATAACTAGCGTACAATTGGAGAGTGAGTGCATTTCATCATTAATTTAGTGATATTTATCGGCATAATATAAAATATTTTAGTTTTATTATGTTAATTAAAGATCAGATTCCAACTGTTTTGAATAAATAAAGTTAAATTATAAGTTTTAATATTATTTTAAAACCGGTCAACTATTGGATCCGTCAGAAAGCCCTTTACCCAGTAAAAAATTCATTCGGTCATTGATAAGACCCTCTGATTTTATCACAATCCAACTAATGACCGTATATTTATAATACTAACTTATTCTTAACTTCAAAATTAAATCTGTCAAGTGTTTAAAGGACTTTAGTCATTCAATATTTTGTAAATATAAAAATAATCATTACAAAATGTATATTTATAATTAAAATAATAATTAAAATCTTTTTTGATTATTAAATTTTATTTTATTCTAATTTTTTTAGTGAACGGTTACATCAAAGAACGAATTATTAGAAGAAAGAATTGCTAAGCAATTAAAAAAATAAAAAAGAGTTACAAGCTAATAAAAAAGCTTTAATTGAAAAAAAGAAAGAGAAGAATAAAAAAATTTCAAGTGAATCAGAAGAACTATCGTCATCAAAATAAATTTGTGATTATTTTATAAAAAAGTACGATTTAAAATTATATTATATGTTTAGTTTTGTTAAAGATGTCGTTAATACTTAAAA